AGTTGGAGAACAGTTTAAATTTTTCATAATGAAATTTGGTATTAGCGTGCCCTAGATACGTACCAACAAAAATGCATTATAACTTTTGGCATACACTCCTTTAAAATTGTATGATTTAGGACTGTTTGACTGTTTTGTGGCCTAAATCCACTGTGATGCAGGGTGTGACATATTGTTTCCAAATGTGAATCAGCAATAGGTATGGAAACATACACAACCTTATTCACACAAGACTTTACAGATACGTGACGTCAGCAATTCCTAAAAAAATTCTTTCAAAAAAGCTATTTTTCTAAAAAAATGGGCGTGGCCCAATAACTTGCAACGTAACAAAATTTGCTTAAATTATCATATTACATCATTTTCTTTTAAATATTAACTTCGTCAAACTGTCGACCAAACCGTTATTTTCAAGACAGTCAAATAATCCTCTGCCACCCTTCTATGCAAACACAATAGAAAACTGAACTAACAAATAGAATCTCCTGTTTTCTTCTGCATACTTGATTTCTTTAGAAATCTTGATTAAGAAATGTGTCCAATAAAAAGTCTATTCTATATTATTTGTATGGTGTATCATTCTGTAAACTTTTTGTAGTTATCCAGCATGCAAAATACCTGATTGCCCCGGGCAACCAAATTTTACTTGGGGCAACCTATTTTTGAACCTAGGTAGCCCAGTGTGCTACCTGAATTTTAAGAATTCCCACTTGGCTTGCGCCACTGTATCAGGCAGATGCTTGTTGATTTTAAGTATTAGTGGCTATTACTAGTATCAGTTGAATAAAGGCTGTTAGAAATATTGTCAAAGGCTTATGTATGTAACATTACTTAATTTGAGGAAAGTAGTAACTTGTAGGTGGGGCAACCTAAAATTCTGATGGGCAACCTAATTTTTGCCATAGGTTGCCCACTGGGCAACCTGGTTCAGAAAAGTATTTTGTACACTGAGATATCATTAGATGGGTTGTTTTGAAGCCAGGTGTGCCAGGCTATGCCCCCTCCCCATCAAAACTACTTACATTAATATCATGTGCTTTATGTTATTAACTTAGGTGCACACAGTATTCTAGTATGGTATATCTAGGTAATATTTTCTTGCCATCTTGGCCGATGGTCCTTTGCGAAACAAAATTCAAGTCTAGAATTTTTGTGAAGTACTTTTACGGTCATGTTAAAAAGATCCCGAATTGTAAGGTTGTTTAATGGTGTGTTGGGTTTGCCCCATGTTTGATGGCAGTAGAGACTTCCAGTGCTTAATGAATTGAAGCAGGTGGCATGGGGCTGCCCATGTCATGTCAATATGTGTAGTGCCAGGCTGTGTCCCCATCGATTGGATCAGCCCCATGCTTATGACGACCAATCAGGCACTGACATGAGTGCACCCCCGGGGGACCTGTTGTTGAAGTTAATTTGCATGAGTGCTTCACTCTACCAACTGGCGGGCCTTCCTTTCACCCACTGTTCTCACACAAAGAGACAACATTACGGCTAGCCATGACTAGTGCTGTGCAAACACAGACAGTGAGTATGGGCTCCGTTTCTTCTTAAACCATCAACTTTCAGGGCTACTTGTACTTGGGCAATTTTTTTGTACCATACGACACAATTTCATACAAATTTTGTATGTTCGTCGTGCGCTCAGGCCCTAAAATATTACGCGGGATGCAAATCCCATCAAGTTGATTAACTCTTGGCATCCCTCAATTGATTTCAAGAATAGGCAGTGTGTGTGTTATTGCCCAAATGCATTTCACAGGGCAGGCTGTTGCACTTTTCTTTTTACTAAAAGAGTCAATTTTTACAATTTCTTCTCACATTTAATGTTTTTGGAAGTTGTAGATTTCTGAAAATATGTATTTTGCTAACTTTTATGTAATTTTTTCAATGTATATGCAAGGAAAATATTTTGAAATATGTATAGGTATATCTATTTTGAAACAAAATTGCTGAATGTACGACCATAAAATTAGATGTCATATCGTAATTTACCTTATGTAGATGGTAGCAAAAGTTCACGGTCTGAGAAAAATGGACATGTTCATGGAACTATATGTTCACGGTAGTGACAGGTGCAGGAAAAAGAAAGTCCACCACAAAGTTGCTAGTGATTGAACTTCCGTCACGAAAAATGTATTTGGGAACCTAGCTGAGTCTGGCTGGAAATACCTTCTAATATATATTATTAATAAACCCGCCCCAAAAGACTGTACACCAGGCTACAGAATGCTGAGTCAGCAACAGGAGCGCGGCAAAGCTGGCAAACGTACATTTAGCTAATTAGATTTGGGGATGTGAAAAACTGGTCCATTTGGAATGTACCGGTAGCCGTAAAACAATTGCAACCTAGTCTAGCCCACACAAGAAATTTACTTGGTCTTGCTTAGCATATGCTGATATATCTACTGAAATTTTGCTTAATGTCCTCTTTTTTTTGCAGTCTTTGCACATTCATTCTCATATTTTAGTGTAACGCTCTGGGCTTTAGAAAATGATACCAAAGATACGCATAGAAGTATCGGAAGATTAAAGTTGATAAGGTGTATGATAAGTGCAATTTTCCGTGTACTTAATTACCTTGGAAACGTTTAAATTCATCCCATTTCGTGATTTTTTGCTGCAATATCTGAAATTCAAGAAATCAATGGTCAATAGATTTATACAGTATTGAAGATTTTAAATGGTGAGGTGTAGATGTGAGGAATGAAGGGCTTTGGGTTTGTGTCAAGATAGATGTATACAGACTTCTTGTAGTAGTAAGTTGTCATCACCTATAAAGTATTAAAAGAAATAATGGTTTCTGAACAGTTTTTAGTAATATGATGATGATAATGATAATGAATATGATACATAAAGTCTGAGTGGTATGGGTAAAATTTGCCAGTTGCAGGTCTAGGTAATTTTGACTGTTTACTGGTACATGAGGGCAGGTATGTATTTCGAGCCCTGCTATTATTCTCTGACATGAACCTATCCTGCAGCAATACATCAGGCCATGTTAATTTGATTATATGGATGACATCCTCTGGGAAACGCAAAACTGATGCGAGCGTGCGAATAAAAAAAGTTTTGCAAAAAAAGTTGCTTTCATTATGAAATCTACGTGGTCATGAAGGTTGAACAAATGGCACAGAGTATGGTTTGGCGAATTATTTACTCTTCAAATTAATTTCTTTACATTATCGTCTTTTTCGTTTGATTTTGGCATTCTACGACATTGGTATCATTTTCAAATATTATTTTGTTTCAACTTACAGTATATATATTTGCTCATTTTATAACTGTTTTGAATGTATGATTCACAGTATGGTAGAAAACCTTTTTTTTTTGGAAACAGCTGAAAATTCATGCACGCGTGCATATCATCCATATAATCAAATCAACATGGCCTTAGCGTTGGGATTTGGCTCTGCCGAATCAGGCCCACTTTCTCATCCTGAGGATGTAGCCTCTAATGAACTGTCAGCCAATCAAAGACATTGTTCGTCAGTTGGGTGAAGCGAAGGCAGTATCCTAATCTACCACAGGGGATGGGGTTTCGTATGTATAAAAATTTGTGTGTAAAAAAAATTGTGCATGAAAAATCTGTGCACGAAAATATGCAAATTAGCTGATTTTCAAGGGATTTAAAAACTTTTTGCTGTTGTAACATTAAAAGATTGAAAAAAAGACATGAAATGGAATTGAATATCATTTGTTGCATTCTAGATAGCCTTGTTTTGTCAATTTTTCAGTGATTTTAGGTGATTTTGAAAGGTTAAGTTTCCGTGCGCAACAAAGGTTACGGGTGAAAGAATCTGAGAAAATGTGAAATCAAGCTTGTAGAATGGAGAAAAGCTGGACCAGTGGTACATTTTACAGTACAAAAACTTCTTACTAGTAATTTTTCCATGTATTTCCGACAAATTCAAGTGATTTTCAAATGCTCAGGTTTCATGGAAGATATGCAAATTAATAGAAATTTCAGGTAACAAATTAAAATAATATAACATGGCAAGATTTTCCTACCTAAGAATTTGGTACTGCATATTTTCTAACATATTTCAGGCACATTTATTTTTCACGCAAGTCAGAAAGCGTATTGCCACCACTAGTCTAGTGCCAACATTGTACAAGACTCTCTGTTCTTTTGTCATGTCTGACACATGTATGATTATCATGCATGACCATTTCATCCAGCTGTGTATTACACACATCCACCTCTTCCTGTTCTCTGCTAACACTGATAAGAATGTACTTCTTGTAGACAAAGCTGTGCTAGTTACCTTCGTCGAGAAGGCTATGTTTTAGATTTGTGGACTTAATCATAATGGCACTCTCGTTGTGTTCCAGTTTGATGTATTCTAATGATATTTGGTAGGTAGGTATACGTAGGGACATTAAAGGTCAAAGTCAATTACGAGTAATGTGACAGCTTTGCTCCCGTGTACATGGGTATATTATAATGATATCTCGTGCTGTGGACTTGCTATGGTCATGAATTTTGTGTGGGACAATTGTTGGGTAATGGGTACCTAGCTGACGTAGTTTTCAGCCCAATAGCTTAAGAGTTAGATCACTTAGCTCCAGTTTAGGCCACACCAATTTAATTTGTTGGTTCATGGAGTCGCCCGCTTCATTTTTTCTGATTTGCCCCCCTAAAATAACACAATTACGTGTACTTCAGCCTCTGAATCAACTCCAAAATGCTCATTTTGGCCCCAGCAGTTAAAGTTTTTCCATCTATCAATGCAGCGGTTTGATAAAAAGTTTGAAATTCATTGTTTGAACCAGCCTGGTATGTTGACTTCATGGCTCCTATCATTCATAGCATTTGGGGCCATCATAGGATGCCTAGGTCTGTTTTTATTTTTTCCCTGTCGCTTCATATTTTTTCTGAAAAATCTGAGAAACAACAAATCAAATTGGTGTGGCCTTACCTTGTTTCATAGTGATTTCCCTATGTCAATATTTTGAAAATGATACTTATTTACATTGTTATGTCTTGTTCTTTTTTGCAGGAAGTCAAAGTTAACTGGGCTACAACACCAAGTGGAAATAAAAAGGATACTAGTAGTAAGTATAATTTCCTTCTTTCGTAGGATGGGGAAGGTTGTGTTTTCTGTTGTGTTTGTGTATTCACAGTAGTTAAACTCACATAGTGCTACATGTACATACCTAAACCCACATTTAGGTTCAGGTCCAGATTCAAGTCCAGAGGTTTAGGTTCAGTTCCGGACTCGTAAGTCCGGACCTAAACCCATGCCATGTACAAAACTGCATGTTGGCAACCTTGCATTGTTGTCTGAGTGAAACTTTGGCCACATAACATGGAGGCCGGTACTTGACAATGCCCGATGGCAATGTTTTCTTCATTTTGCAGCAAAGATTTTGCAATCTATGGAAGGTTTTAGGTGGTTTGGAAAGAAAAATATGTAAAATGGTCTTTTATGGTAATAATTTCGGACTAGGTTCTTGACTTTTAGGTTTTTTTTTTAGGACTTGAAGCTAAACATTCTTACAAGTCCGGATCCAAGTCCAGTGAACCGGTACATAGCACTAAACTCACAATGGGTATTTGTTTGAAGTCACAAATGATAACTGTTTAAAAATACAGTAAACAGGCTAAATATGCATAGACAGGCATCATAGAACAAAGACATTAGCACAAGCTTGTCCCTCTATATGGAAAATAAAGACATTTGTGCAGCGCTACCATGGATTACATGCAAAACATTTCCAAAAAATTAATTTTGAGCCCTGATACACTTTCTGAACGTTTGAAATATCAGATTGTGTTTTTTGACTGAAAACTACATGTACTCACAATGTATTATGTTGCATATTTTCTTTCAGGCAATTTTATCTAATTTACTTGTATTCTTTGTTTAGGGACAGAGACATGGCTTTCAGTGTTTTAATTTTTTGTGGTCCTGAACAGCAGATATAAGTGTTCAATATATGACCTATGTTGTATAATGACAACATTTATGTAATGTCTGGCAACAGAAATATCTTTCAAGTGTGTATCAGTTTGCCACTTATGCCATCGGTTGATACGAATGCAATATTATTTAGTATTAAACATTCAGCATGTATTCCAAGTACCATATTTCTTTTGACGAATATTTTTAATGAAACAAACAACAAAAAGTTAGCTGTTCTGGGGAGCTTTCGACATGCAAATTTGTGTCTCTCCTTCAACCCGGTAAGATCTCGTCTTGGAGTTCTCTTGTCACGTGACTTGACGTGATTATCACGTGACAAGAGACCATATTTCTCTATTAAAAAAGGTGCTGTTTATTGACATTTCAGTAGGTGCTTTAGGTCAAAATCAAATTTATTTTTTTCCTCAATGAAAATTGTACACACACACACACACACACACACACAAACACTACCAAAAACATAACCTCCTGGTAAAGTTATTTGATTATGTTTACGGAAGGAAGGAAAACCATATTGCTTTTACTCAGTTTCTTCCTCTTCTTCTTCTCCAAACAGTGACCTCTGACCTGACCAATGACATAATTTGTTGATGTCTGTCACCATGCTGACTGGTGTTGGGTTACATAATGTTGCAATTTCATGGTCTGCTCTGCTCCTGTCACCATATACTAGTAGTACATGTGTGTGAATGTGTTTGAGTAAGAATTAACAGAGCAGACCATGTCCGAAGGTAAACATTATGCATTTGCTTTGCAAATGTTACTTCTCTAGTTTTGCATGTGAATTAATCATTGGTCCTGCTGTGTCTTTCTGTTTCAGACCACTACCATGTTTTTGTTGGAGACTTGAGTCCAGAGATTGACACCACAGATCTCAAGGCTGCCTTTGCTCCCTTTGGGAAGATCTCGTAAGAAATCTGCTACACATTTTGTCATGACTTGTCACAGATACATGTTTAGTCTCTGTGGTTAATAGCCAGTTACTTCAATTTTTTTAATATGGATAATATGGATGAATGCTGGGAAACATGCTTTTAAATTTAAAGGCAACCAATGCAATTTCAGGGCAGCAAAACTGGAGTTTCAAAGTCAATTTTCTGGTCATTCTCTTAGTGTAGTAAGTTGAATAAAATCCTATCCCATAGAGTACTGACATCTGTGTGACAAAAATGCAATGTCACCGATGGAAAATCGTACTAGGCTGCTTCTAGCTATTTGTGGGTGGTACCCAAAAATACCAAAATGCCTCATGTAGCATGTTTTGGTGCTGTGCCACTTAGAAATGGCAGTAATTGTCAGACAGATTTCCTCATCCAGAATATTTTGTGTTTTGCCGCCCTAAAATTACACTGGATGCCTTTAAGTTAAGACCAAATCTAGCTTTTTGAAAAGTATTAATATGACGGTAGTATCGGTGCCAATGATTTTCTTCTGGCAAACTGCAGTACATAATAAATATCACTATACACCTGCTGGACAACCCCTGGACACCCCTGTGTGGCTGGCAGTGGTACGATCTAATTGTTTGGGCTGTAGTTAAAGAGTATACCAGGTTGTACCACTTAGACAAGTGGTTTAGCATAGGGGTGTTCTGTCCAGATAAAAAATAGGTTTTCATAGAATGCAGGTGTATGAAGGGGTCGCTGACCTGTTTGTTACACAACAGCTGTTAATTAACATTCAACAGGTGCAAGCTGGCAGCACTGTGGGCTATACCACAATACTTTCAGGAAAGGGGGGGAGGGTATCCTATTTTGTGAATTATGATTGTGACATCACCCTATCTTTTTTCCTATAGCGTTACTCTTATTGTTGTTAGTATGATATCTGAATGTTTCATCAGTTGTTGTGCTCATCATGAGTTATATACTTCCCAGAGTTCTTGTTATTGGTTGAATTATAAACCAGCCTGGTATATTGACTTCATAGCTCCTATCATAGCTTTTGGGGGCTAGGTCTGTTTTCTTTTTGTCCTGTCAATTGATATTTTTTCAGAAAAAAAATCTGAGAAGTAACAAATCAAATTGGTGGCCAAATTTATGTTGACCACAAAAATATGCAGAAACACACGCACACATACACTGATACAGGCAGACACATAGAAAGACAAACATACGCACACACAGACTAAAAACAATACCTCCAGTTTTCATAGAAATTGAAACAGCCTGCCAGTTACAGTATTTTATATTAATAATTAGTTTTGTGCATCAAACTGAAAAGGATAAAGTATAAAGTTATTGTCATTGTTTTGTGAGTTTTGGAGAGAAGTTTATTAACTGTATTGATTGGAAGAAATGAAGATACACATTTTTGGAATCACCTGTAACATCATGTTTTTTTAAATTCATTGAAATTAGTTGTTTATAGCCAGAATGAGAATTTACGCCCCTTTTTCATTGATATTTTTGTTTTCGGAGGGAAATCGTGTGTCATTATAAAAACATTTCATGTCCTGATTTTATCAGTGTAATTTCCTCTCAGATAGCCATGAAAGTGTTATGTCAATAATACTGTACACTGTGCAGGTGTATCTCCTGAATTTTCAGATGTGAGAAGATTTTAAAGGGGTGTACGTGTAGCACTTGAGTTATAATATGATTAAATGTTGCACCTTAAGCTTTGTGAAGGCTTGCATATAATAATTGTTTACTTGATTCCTCTTGCACAGCTGTGACCAATGTACCACAGGCATGTTTTTGGTTTGGATCATTCTTAAAATCTCTCAATTTTGGTCTTCTGGAAAACATAGTATTGGTAGTCTAATGTTTTTAGTTGTTTAGTAAGACCCTTTGTCAGTCTTTCTTGTTTGTTTGAATTACTTCTTTATAATAAGAATCACTTTTAGTTAAAACAGGCAAAGGTATGTTATGATAAAAAATTTATTAATTTCATCATTATACCAATCAGCTTTTTGACTTTTTCATATTTTCTATGGATGTACTATACATGAATATCATTTGATTCCCAATATGCAAAAAAAAAAAGGAAAACAGCAAGACCCATTCTGCTTTGAAAACTGTCTCAGTACCTTTCTAGGTTGTAGAATGGCTATACACGTCACATGTATGCAGTCTTTGAGTACAAATCCTTGTTAGACATGTAGTTTTCTTAGACTTGTCTGTTGAGCAATTCTTTTTAACGAGCTTGATTTTTTGCTATTCACTATTGTTTAAACTCCTATCGTAGTATTTCTTGCTTCTTTGTGTCATGACTTACATGGCCTAAAACTGTTCTATTGGTCTTTCAAAATTGCAGAGGTTGAACCATTCGCCCCTATCGTATGAGGCGATACTGAGAACTCAGACAACCACTGGCAACAAATAAAACGTGCATTGTGTTACCAGGCTACGTATGCCTTTTCATTCCTATTTTT